AAAAGCAAAAAAAGATTTTGAGGAACAGCTAGCCAAAAACTCAAAAAGAAATAAAATGTTTTTTAAGTACATTAGAAGCAGGAAGCCTGCTAAAAAACCTGTGGGTCCCCTAGATGATCAAGCTATAAAAGGAGCAATCAAGGACAATAAAGCCATTGCAGAGAAACTAAATGATTTCTTTGCTTCAGTCTTCACGGCTGATCTCCGGGACCGGATGGCATTCATCCAAGGGTTCTAAAAGAACTCAAATGGGAAATTGCTGAGCTATTATCTGTGGTTTGTAACCTATCCTTTAAATCAGCTTCTGTACCTAATGACTGGAAGGTAGCCAACGTGACACCAATATTTAAAAGGGGCTCTAGAGGCGATCCTGGCAATTACAGACCGGTAAGTCTAACTTCAGTACCGGGCAAATTAGTCGAAACAATAGTAAAGAATAAAATTGTGAAGCATGTAGAAGAACATAATTTGTTGGACAAAAGTCAACATGGTTTCTGTAAAGGGAAATCCTGTCTTACTAATCTATTAGAGTTCTTTGAAGGGGTTAACAAACATGCGGACAAGGGGGATCCAGTAGATATAGTATACTTGGATTTTCAGAAAGCCTTTGACAAGGTCCCTCACCAAAGGCTCTTGTGTAAATTACATGGCCATGGGATAAGAGGGAAGGTCCTTTCTTGGATTGAGAACTGGTTAAAAGACAGGAAACAAAGGGTAGGAATAAATGGTAAATTTTCAGATTGGAGAGGGGTAACTAGTGGTGTACCCCAAGGGTCAGTCCTGGGACCAATCCTTTTCAACTTATTCATAAATGATCTGGAGAAAGGGGTAAGCAGTGAGGTAGTAAAGTTTGCAGATGATACCAAACTGTTTAGGATAGTCAAGACAGAAGCAGACTGTGAGGGACTCCAAGAAGATCTCACCAAACTGAGTGATTGGGCAACAAAATGGCAAATGAAATTTAATGTGGATAAGTGTAAAGTAATGCACATCGGGAAAAATAACCCCAACTATACGTACAGTATGATGGGGGCTAATTTGGCTACGACAAATCAGGAAAGAGATCTTGGAGTTATCGTGGACAGTTCTCTGAAAACTTCCACACAGTGTGCAGCGGCGGTCAAAAAGGCAAATAGGATGCTAGGAATTATTAGGAAAGGGATAGAAAATAAGACCCAGAACATCTTACTGCCCCTGTATAAAACTATGGTACGCCCACATCTTGAATACTGTGTACAGATGTGGTCTCCTCACCTCAAAAAAGATATTTTGGCCTTGGAAAGGGTTCAGAAAAGGGCAACTTAAAATGATTAGGGGTTTGGAACAGGTCCCATATGAGGAGAGGCTAAAGAGACTGGGACTTTTCAGTTTAGAAAAGAGGAGACTGAGGGGGGATATGATAGAGGTCTATAAAATCATGAGTGGTGTGGAGAGGACTGATAAAGAAAAGTTATTTATTAGTTCCCATAATAGAAGAACTAGAGGACACCAAATGAAATTAATGGGTAGCAGGTTTAAAACTAATAAAAGGAAGTTCTTCTTCACACAGCGTGTTGTCAACCTGTGGAACTCCTTGCCAGCGGAGGCTGTGAAGGCTAGGACTATAATAGAGTTTAAAGAGAAGCTGGATAAATTCATGGAGGTTAGGTCCATAAAAGGCTATTAGCCAGGGGATAAAATGGTGTCATTGGCCTCTGTTTGTCAGAGGCTGTAGAGGGATGGCAGGAGACAAATCGCTTGATCATTGTCTTCGGTCAACCCTCTCTGGGGTACCTGGTGCTGGCCACTGTTGGTAGACAGGATACTGGGCTAGATGGACCTTTGGTCTGACCCAGTACGGCCGTTCTTATGTTCTTATGTTCTAATAGCAGGTCCTTTCTTCTGCTCAGTGCCTGACTTTTGCTAACTGCTTTATATCAGCAAATTTTGACCACTGCTTTAGTTCAGTCTTTAGACCTTACACTTGGCCTTATTGTAAACAGGCTTTCCTTCTGTTTGGTGACAGGGCCTCATTTAAAACTCCTGAAACCAATGGGAAAAATTCCCAGTGAGTGTCTGCTTTTCAAATTTTCAAGGTACTGGAAGAGGAGGGGGGCAACATTATTCATTTTTAAATTAGAAAAGTTTCCCTGGACTAAGAACATGGCTTAGCTGTATTTCTCCCTTCCCCACTGCTTAACTATAAAATTAGTTTTGAATTATTTGGTGAGCCATACCACCTGAAAAGTTTTAATACATCTGTTTTTTCTTATATCAATGGCTCATTCACATCAGTGGGGGAGCCCTTTTGAAAGGATGGGGCATGTGCAGGCTCACTAAATTCATAGTTATATTTCCTGTCGATAAACAAACATTTGGGTTCCCAACTACATCTGCTTTTTAACTTTTCATCAACATCCCAGAAAGATAATTAAATGAGAAGTTAACTTTTTGCTTTATACCTAGTAAGTACTTGCTCATGTGTGTGTGTCCATTTCTCATGTGTTCTTTCTAGTTAGATATATTCCACTTTCTTTGAATGATATCGATGTGACTCGATCTACCTAACCTATCCTTCAGAGAGGTAGCCAAGTTTGTCTGTAACTGGAAAAACTTGAAAAACAATGAATAGTCTAGCAGCACTTGAGAGACTTATAAAACATGTAGATAACATATAAAGCTTATGATGCCATTTACATGTTTTGTTAGTCACTAAGGTGCTGCTAAACTTCGTTATTACGTAACCTATGGTTAGCCAAATATTTAAAAAGTAATACCTAAAAACAAATAACAAACATTGGTAAGCAGCCAATTAGGCCACTACACAATTAAGGTCCTAAGCAACCACTCTAGGATGATAAGGCCATTGTGAACAAACTATATAAATCAGTCTTTACTGCAGAGGAGGTGAGGGAGCTTCTCAAACCCAAGTCATTCTTTTTTGGTAGGAAATCTGGGGAACTATTCCAGATTGAGGTATCAATACAGGAAGTTTTTTTGCAACAAAATGATAAATTAAAGAGTAATAAGACACAAGGACCAGATGGGATTTATCACAGAGTTCTGAAAGATCTTGAATATGAAATTGAAGAACTACTGACTGTGGTTTGTAACGTATCTTTTTAATCAGTGTTTGTACCAAATGACTGAAGAATGGCTAATCCATTTCTGACCCTGGAAATTACAGGCCAGTAAGCCTGAGTTCAGAGAAAGGAAAATTGATTGAAACTATTATAAGGAACAGAAGTGTCGGCCACACAGGCGAACAATTTTCAGCCACAGAATATCAAGAGTTGTTTTTTTGTAAAGGAAAATCATGCCTCCTCAATCTATTAGAATTCTTTGAAGGGGTCAACAAGCATGTGGACAAGGGTGATCCAATGGAGACAGTTTACTTTACAAAGTCTTTGACCAGGTCCTTCACCAAAATCTCTCACACAAAGTAAACTGATCTGGGATAAGAGGGAACATCCTCTCATTGATCCGTAACTGTTTAAAAGATAGGAAACAAAGAGGAGAAATAAATGGTCGATCATCAGAGTGGAGAAAAGGAACTAAATGTTAACAGGGTTCATAAAAGAGCTAAAAAAGAATTAGAACAATATATGGGACGACAGGTCCATCAATGGCTATTGGACAGAATGGGAAGGGCTGCTCTCTCTAGCCTCTGTTTTCCCAAAGCTGGGAATGGGTGACAGGGGAAGGATCAGTTACCTGCTCTGCTTGTTCCCCACAGGTCACCTGACATTGGCCACTGTTGAAAGGCACAATAATGGGTTAAAAGGACCTTATGTTCTTGTAGTTTTATTTGATCAATTATCTTACAGTAGAGTAACAGGGTTTAAGACCAGAAGAGACCGCCACTTCATCCATTCTCACATCCCATTTATCATTGGCCACCAGCACCATCAAACTCAAATAAGCCCAGCAATAGAAAGAGGCCAAACTTCGACAGTTTTCTAGAGACTAAACTGTTGTATACCACAGGCAGAGAATAGGAAGGGCAAAATTCCATGGATACCTAAAGTCCCTGTTTTGGGAGGGAATTATGTATGAGAGGGTATGTCTACATTGCAATCTTCTTTCAGAATAAGCTTTTCTGGAAGATATCATCCGGAAAAGCTTATTTTGAACTAGAGCATCCCCATGCAAAAAGTGCAACAAAATAGTTATGTGCTATTTCTAAAGCTAGTGTCCACATTGATTGGATACTATCTCACGTTTAAGGCCACCCGGAACCAGTTCAGGCAGGGCATTAGGTCAGCAGTTGCTTCCCGTAGCTGCTGTCTAATGCTATCTGAGATGCTGGCTTAAAGGGACCCCCCAAGACAGCGGTTTCTCTGGTTCTTCTGCTTGTTTACCTACCTCTCTGAGGGACAGCTAAGCATTTCCTCTGTGTGCTCAGGTAGCCCTACCTTTGGATACAACAGAACACAATGCTACGGAACCAGTGCTGTCTCTGAGCAAGCGATGGCCCCATGCTGCTGTGCTGTAGTTTCTGCAGCAGTTTCTGCAGGCCGTCTTCCTGCCCTTGCATGAGCTCAAGCCTGAGCTCATTGTAGAGAACCTCTGCCTGTGTGCAGGAGTGATGCCCTTGCAACCATATCCCATGGTGGAGCGATGCTTCTGGAGGCTGGACACCAGTTCTGAATGGGACGACCAGCAGTGGTTCCAAAACTTCTGCATGGAGACGTTCCTGGAGCTTATTCCTTCAAAGTAGGAATAAGAGATCCTCTGGAATAGGGCTTTATTCCGGAGGATCGGGCCAGTCTAGACGCTTTTTTCCAGCTTTTCCCCAAGCTGGAAAAAAAGCGGCGAACATGTTTATTTAAATCCCGCGGGGGATATTTAAATCCCCCGCGGATTTCCCTATTCCCACTTTCAAAATTAGCATGCCCCTTCTGAAGAAGGGGCCAGTGTAGACGTAGCCGAGGTGTACTGTCAGATCCTACAGCCTTTACTCAGGTGAGTAATCCCATTGAGTCAGCAGGCCTTCCTATATAATGGAGGGAAGATGTGACCCTGATTTTTTACAAGTGCTGTCCTTACACAGAAAGGAAAAACCAGAGGCTGTTATTTTATTTCTGTGGTGCAATGGCAGGAGGCTTGACAGCTTTTCTTCACTGTGGGGTGTTTGCATCCAAAGACTATTTTTAGATAAGGACAGTTAGAGTAAATGTCGCTGTACGTACAAGGATTGGCTGAAAATGAAAGACAGCATGAGATTAGGCATTAATAAGAGGAGAGGGAAAAAGTCCAACACTCTTTTCTTTAAATCCTATTTTGACTGAATAAGTATGTTTTAGGGCTGTGAATTGACCTGCATTTATGGCTGCGATTAAGGCGGGACAGGATTAACACGTTAAAATATAATGTGTTATTTGCAGGTGTTAATGCTGCACTGCCTCTTTGAAGAGCCATTCAGACACTTCAAAGGGGCAGTACAAGTGGAGCTGGGGATCAGCTAGAGTCCCCAGCTGATCTCCAGTTCCGTGTTGCTAAGCCCCTTTAAAATGCAGCTCCGGCACTTCAAAGAGGGTGTGCAACAATGGAGCAGGAGATCAGTCCCCAGATGATCCCCGGCTCCTAATGCACTACCCCTTTAAAATGCCAATATGGCACTTCAAAGGGAAAGCCCAAGTGAAGCCGGGGATCAGCTGGAGTCCGCAGCTGATCCCCAATTGTTCTGTTGCAAAGCCCCTTTGAAGTGCTGTTTTGGCACATTAAAATGGCAATACATTAGGAGCTAGAGAACAGCTGGGGACTGATCCCTATCTCCCTTTTTGCAAAGCCATTTTGAAGTGCTGAAGCGGCACTTCAAAGGGGCTTTGAAACGTGGAGCCGGGAATCAGCTGGGGATTCTAGCCAATCCCCGGTTCTGCTTGGACTGCCCCTTTGAAGTGCAGTTTGGTGCTTTGAAGGGGAAGTACATTAGGAGCCGGGGATCAGCTGGAGTCCCAGGCTCTGCTTGTGCTGCCCCTTTGAAGTGCTGCTTCAGCTTTTCTAAGGGGCAGTGCTGCATGGAGCGAGGGGTCTGCTGGGAACTCCAGCTGATCTTGGGCTCCATGCTATGCTACCTCTTTGAAACGCCACCATGGCATTTCAAAGGGGAGTTGCACGCAATTAGTCATGCAATTAACCGCTATTAAATTTATTAATCATGCGATTAATCTCAAGTAAAATTTTTAATCGCTTGACAGCCATAGTATGTTTCACTGTATTTTTTTCTGTTCAATTTTATTTGTTCCCCAGAGATGTTGCAAAAGTCTAATTTTTTTTAAAAGCATTTTATCAGGTGAGGCAATAATTTGTTTGAATACAGCTTATTACAGTACAATTAGAAGATGGCCAAAGTCAGGTTTGGGGGTCACTCTCACTTTAATAAGACTGGATCAATTCCCTCTCCTTCTATTTCCCAGCAGAATATACCCTGGAGTGTGTCATCAAATCTACCTGGTAGTGCAGGAGAAAGAGGCCACGAGTATCTGTCATATTTGTAGCTTTGCACAATCTCACTCTGGGTATGTCTACACTACCCTCCTAGTTCGAACTAGGAGGGTAATGTAGGCATACCGCACTTGCAAATGAAGCCCGGGATTTGAATTTCCCAGGCTTCATTTGCATAAGCGGGGCGCCGCCATTTTTAAATCACAGCTCGTTCGAACCCCGTGCCGCGCGGCTACACGCGGCACGGACTAGGTAGTTCGGGCTAGGCTTCCTAGTCCAAACT